AAATCCCACACAGCCCCCCATAGCTCGCAAGGGGGGGGGGGGGGGGGGGAGAGAGTCACATGCTTCTCTCAAACATGAATGCCTTACTCCATTACAGCAATGGTGCATGGGCTCTCATGAAGGCTGAAGTGGGGAAGGGGGGGGGGGTTTGCAGACTACCTTGGTACCTGGTGCAGATTACCTTGCTGGCTTGTTGCCCAAAGTGACAGTATCTTCAAGTCAAAATGCAGCTATCCCAGCCCTTTAATAAGAACAGCTTACCCATGGAAGAGGTGGGACGCGCTCCTACCTGTAATTACTAAACCTGATATAGCCCCAGGTGTATACAGAATCAGGGAGGAAATAACCAGCCCAGGACCGATTCGTGGAATTGGGGAAAGGAAGAAAGACACCATTAGAAAAAAAACAAACAGTAATTACGAGGAGCTCTCATTAGAAGAGTCGGAAATCATATTTAATCTGGGCAGGGCAGGCTGCCAATGACATGACCTGTATCTGAGCCAGGTTGCCTCACTTATTTATCATAATTACGGGTAGCTGAAAAAAAGACTGTTCATGGATATCCTGACCCCTCGTATCTGGAGTCTACTAAAAGGGGAATTCCGGATGAGACAGTGATCCAGAGAAAAGTTTACACTTCCATATGCATCTCATACATATGCTAAAGAAAGCCAAAGCTGGAAAAAGCACCATTGTGTAAAAGCCAAACCTCAGGATCCCTCTGCATACACTGTATATCCTTCTTCACTCTTGGCCTGCAATCACACCTGAGCAGAACGGATTTCTCACGATTGGATAATGTGTACTCACTGAGGCATTGATCCCACCAACAACATTTTGCTTACATTCCATAGGAAAGACAGGTTAGCCAGGTACACATTACATCCTGCATGTCTCCATTAGGAGTCTGTGCTCACCTTTTTACTGTGGTCATCCTGTAAACAAAAGAAAAAAAAAAATACATGTCATGGAACTGTTAAAAGTGAAAACAGCCTCAGTGTGGAACATAAATGATTTGCACATCAACACACACTGTTCTGGGACTTTTAAAGTGACACTAAATGCAGAAGTTACGTCCTAAAAATGCATTCAGGTACCTGAACTATTAACAGAAATGTATCTTATTTGTGTATCACTCGGCTGTAGATCCTCAAATCATCTCTGAATTGGTGCCGACACTGTCCTTCCTTCTGGTGGGGGGCTACTTTTGCTACCCGTGGTCCCTGTGTGCGTTGTAAAGTAGTCACCGCTCCCTCCCGGGATGGACTACAATCTCATGTTTAGTTCACTAATTTGTATTAAGATTGTAGTCTATCACGGGAGCTTGGAGCGGTGACTACTTTACAACACACACATGGACCATGGGGAACAAAAGTAGTACTGGATATTATAGACAAGGCTTTTCTTCCACCGCTGGGATTGAAAGTTCAGGCTCCTGTACAGTGTTGTTCACTCTCCCCTCGTCCATTCACAAAACTCCTTGGATTCTGTGTAGAGATTGTACGGCATTCTGGGAATGGACAAGGAGAGAATGCAAGGCGTTTTGCGAAAGGACGGGGTGGGGGATGGAGATGGAATCCCCCCTTTTTTTTTTTGTCACGGCACCCTTTAAAAGTATGCAAAATATCGTGGTACTGGTACCCCAGTCTAAAATGTCAGATTTTAAAGGGGGACTCCATTTCCATCTCCATTTTTTTTCCATGCACTGTGAGAAAGCCGAAACTCTTAGTAACAACTATGGAAGAAAAGCGATGTGTGAAATGTTGGCCATAAATGAAATGGCCGTTTCGGTCATTTCTACAGTAAAACAGCAGTGCACACTCATAAGTAGCAGCTGCATGCAAAGGGGATGCTGTGACATCATTGACATTATATGGCCACTGACAATGACCATAATATGACCATATAAAGTCAATGACATCAGCACAAGCATCCTGCCCCTTAGAATGTGTTTAGCTGTGGGGCAGGGAATGCCCCGGCCTGCAGCTGATTGAACAGGGGGGCACCATGGCACTTTAAGTGCGAAGAAGCTTCTCCCTACTGGCAAGGTCTCTTAACGTGTATGTCAAGGCAAAAAAAAAGCAGTACATCTGTGCAATACATTTCCCTGAGTTGTATCCCTTTAAAGACCCTGCAAGTCAAGAATAAATACCTGCTGATGTTGCAAAAATGCGCTCCGTTCCAAAGCCCTGCTGTAGGCTAACAACATGCATTTTTGTGGAGTGAGTGTTGTCAGACCTCCCAGTTGTCTTTTGCTTAACTACTCAACCACTCTCAGATCTCAACACCAAAAGGCTAAACATTCTGCTGTATAATGTATTGCTGGAATTTGTAGTCATTTATAGCTGATGGTATTCTGCATTGCTGTAAAATGTATTACTGGGATTTGTAGTCCTTTATAGCCGATGGTATTGGGCATTACTGCGATTTGTAGCCCTTTATACAGCAATGCGGAATACCATCAGCTATAAAGGGCTACAAATCCCAGCAATACATTATACAGCAATGCAGAATACCATCAGCTATAATGTATTTGTAGCCCTTTATAGCTGATGGTATTCTGCATTGCTGTAAAATGTATAGCTGGGATTTGTAGGCCTCTATAGCTGGTGGTATTCTGCATTACTGGGATTTGGAGTCCCCCCCCTACAGCTTGGCAGAACCACCAGCGTTACTCATACTCGGTCTTGGAAAAAATTGTTTATCTGTGCATCTCTAGTATATTTACCAGACCAAAACGGAGCATACACCTTAACGCTGCGTAGAGGTTTACCACCCACCTGCTGCAGCCATAGCAAAGGCATTTATATCCTTATTAAATCTTTACTAATGAAGAGTGCAGCAAGGGAAGAAACGCTTTGAATCAGGGAAAAGCATTTAACAATATTCATAAGCATAAGGAAATAAAAGATTCCCGTCTCAGGTAGACATTGTATGTGAACTTGATGTTCAGCTGAACCGACAGTCTGTGCTTCATGACTTTCAGCCAGGTTAGGCTACTGGGTATGTACACACGGACTCATTCCCTGCATTTGTAGATCATCTGCACAGTTTCCTCTTGGTCAGTTAAGCCTGCCCACTGGCTGGACAGGCAAATAGTGAAGAAGGGGAGGCAGGATGGAACAGGGCAAAGTGACGACTCACACATGGGCAAAGCACAGGGTCCCTTTAGCAACTCTGGAAGCAATCCAGCAAAACATACTTGTGCTGCAGCAGCATGTTTCCCTTCATCTTACCGGGTGCAGGTCTCCAATGTAATACTGCTTTAGCATATCTCGGGCATCGATAGAGTGGCCAACGTCCTCAAAGCTCTCTGTGGCATCTCCTCCAGCCTGTTCGAACAGGACCTCTTCCCCACCTGGGTGCTGCAGGAACAACAAAAGGATGACATTACTATCAGACAGAGAATCTGCCACCAAAAGAGTGGCACCAACTTCTTCATACGAGCTTCGCTCTCTGCATCATTGGGGATGCACCACCCACCACCAGGAGAAAACTCAAAGAGGACCCGTAATTGACATAACCAGCCTAAATACTTTTTCAAAGCATGGGCTACCACACAAACAGAATTGCCAAAACATTGCTCCATTACTAAAATAACTTCAGCTAGTAAGTCAATGTTTAGGTCTGCCCTTCCCAAACCTTGGCATTGGCCGAGGGGCCTTCCCCAAACCTTGGCATTGGCCGAGGGGCCTTCCCCAAACCTTGGCATTGGCCGAGGGGCCTTCCTCAAACCTTGGCCGAGGGGCCTTCCCCAAACCTTGGCATTGGCCGAGGGGCCTTCCCCAAACCTTGGCATTGGCCGAGGGGCCTTCCCCAAACCTTAGTATTAGCCTAGGGGGCTTCCCCAAACCTTGGTATTGGCCTAGGGGGCTTCCCCAAACCTTGGTATTGGCCTAGGGGGCTTCCCATGACAGTCAGGTGAAGTGTTTTATTACATATCGCCCAGGTTGGGGGGCTCCCAGGGTGCTCTACAAGCTATGTAACACCTTGCATAAAGGCTCCTCCAAGTGTCTGCACATCACTCACATCACACTAGCATAATCATCACACCAGCATAAAGGTTGCATAATTTAAAGTGCAGGAATTCACAAGGTCGGGTCCTTAAAAGGATCTTACCATCTCATATCTAGTGCAATCGCACACAATAAAGCTTATCTGGATGAAGGCCAGACTCTCAACTTGTAGATATGAGTTTCACGTGTTCAGTGCAGTGTTCAGCTTGTCTGTCCAATGTCCTGCTTGGCTCAGGTGACTTCACTCCACTGACCGCAATGGCTGCCACAATATCATTAAGCGTTACATTACAGACCACGTTCCCCTAAACTAGCGTTTCTCAATCTTTTTTTTAGTGACGGCACCCTTTAAAAGTATGCAAAATCTTGTGGCACCCCAGACTCAAATGTCATAGATTTATAGGGGGACTCTGCAAAAAACACAGGGAAAAAAAGTGGGTGCATGCGGCACTGCAATGCCGTACGTTCCATTGCAATGCGACTTATTGACGGAGGATAAATGCGGGTCCTGAGGTTACACAGGTAGAGAACCGCTGTACTAGAGGACAGATGGACATCTCTTGCCCTTCTGTATAATCTGCTTTGATAATTGGCCAGTGTGAGGACACCCTTAATTATCCAGAAGCCATTTTGTTTTTTGCAGAGAGAGTTATAAAAAAAAAAAAAAGAAAAGCTTGTGATCCACTGGTAGGAGTTTCGATGCCTGAAGGCAAACGGCGATGTTGCAAGAGAAATTACAAGGAGAGTTGGATGGCATATAGCAAACCTAGGTGTGACATCACTCCTCCTGCAGCACATCTAGCCAATCAGGAAAGGCCCACTCTGATTACAGATCACCTGCCATGCAGGCAGCATGCCACACGTTGCACAGTCTTTCCTGTGTAACCTATACGTTGGCTTTTATTGAGAAATAAGAACATATAAAAGGCTTATTGTTAAAGGGTTTACATGCCCGGAATTTACCTCTGGGGAAAAAAAAAAGTTATGAATGGACTCTGACCTTTCTGTCATAATAATAAAAATAAACACAAATGAAATATGAAAGAAATGAAAAAAAAATCAGCCAGTTTCCTACATGAATAGTACGCCTGATCAGCGGCGCCTTATAAGGTAACGCGGCGCAGACTCCCCCCACAAATTCAGGCTAACATATTAGCCTTCCAACTTGTGTAAGGAGTCCACTTCACATGAGGATTGCTACGTGACGGGGCCTGAGGTGTGCCATGGCCCAGGTGGTCAGTAATGCCAATAAGGGGGCACCCCCCCTTACCAAGCAACAATTCAAATATAAACTTTAACCTCCGCCTTTCTTGCTCGAAGCTTTTACAGCTGCACTGTTTACATTGACCTTGGCAGCAGCTGCAGACAAGGACTGAGAACAAATCAAGAATCTGCCCACTCTGGTTCACTGCGAATTATAGCAGTGCGGTCTCATGGGTGGAATATCTAAGACATCCAAGAAGCCAGGGGCTGACTCAACCAACCTGGCTCCACCCTAAGGCCCCATTCCCAACTGGAGCTGATGGCAGGAGCAATTGGTAAGGCTCACCCAAATGGCTTGCAGCCAGGAAGCACTATACAAAACAAAGCAATGACAGCAGACAGCACCCATGGCCATTTGCTTGTAATTACAGTATGCATCGATTAGCTGCGAATGATCACCCATGGACGCAAACTGTTTGCGTCCAAGGGCAAATCACCCACTGCATGTCTAATTGCATGCGATTGGCTGCTGATGCTGGCAGCTAGCTACCATGTATTAACATAGCGGGAGGTGCATTGCATTGCCATTCATTTTAATGGGACCCCAAAAGTACCACCCACATGCAATACCTCCCGCAAATCAACTGTACCGCAACACCCGGTACAAAAATAACATGCATCGCGATGGGAAAAAGTAGTTCATGCGTTACTTTTTTCAATCGCACGTTGCAATGCGGTCAATCACAATGCGGGCAGTGCATGGTCGGTGTGGTGTGTTGCGCTGTACGTGCTTGGTGTGAATGGGCCCTAAAAAAAATAAATGTAGCTTTGCCTGTAATACTCACCTCCTCCAACGCTGTCCTTTGAAGACTCACCACTTCAAGGTCCAGTGCCAGTCCTCTTTTGGGTTGAATGACACCCAGCATCATTCAACCAACTTCCTGGGAGGTGGAGAGTATCAAGGAATCGCCTCCAGGATGTGTGTCACCACCGTGTCCAGAACTCACAGTACAACGCACATCATTACGTCGATGCCACACTCTGCATCATACATCAAGGACCGCCCATCTCCGATGAAGGGGTGAAGAGGACCCTGCGTGTCACATGGCCAACGAGAAGACAAGATCAGCACAGACTTTACTGGCTGCATACTTGTTTCAGACAGCACACAGACGCTCTGTGGGAAGATGGAACTCAGACCGCAGAGAGATCATTGCAAGCTTAGATCATGTGGTCTCCTGCCCAAACTTTAACAATGGGAATGAAATGCATTGCCCACAAATCTGTACTCCACACCCCACTTGTGCTCTCCCTATAGTAGTCTTCTAATATAATAGAACTGTACAAAGTAGGAAATCGGCACTCTGCCATCTCCTTCAATGCTGCTTCATGTCAGAAATGTGCATATATATCGGTATACTGATATAGGGGTTTCTTTGGAATTACATAATAGGAACACCTATTATTATTTCACTAGGTGACGAGAAAGCATGGAGCCGGCTTTCTGTGTAATGACGCGTCTCCCGGCTTCCTGATTAAACGGGAAGCCGGCTCCATGCTCCCTCGTCATGAGGTGACGAGGGAGCATGAAACTGGCTTCCCGACCAATCAGGAAGCAGGGCGCCGCGTCATTACACGGCGCCTGGCTTCCTGATTGGGACTTCAAGTACTCGGTATTCTGTATCGGCAATTCCCGGGGGAAAAAAAAAATATTGGTACTCGTACCGAAATACCGGTATCGGTGCATCCCTACAAGGAACCAATCTATTCATGTGTTGAGAAGCATGCTGACATAAGGAGAAAGCAAAGTGACAAAGACAAGTTCATTACTGTGCTGCTCCTCCTTCCACTGTCCAGTTACAGGCCGGGGGCGGGTCCATGACGGCCTAGACTTTAATCATTAGACTGAGGACATCTAGTGGAGGAAAAGAAGTACCGTGGGGGGAGAGCTTTGAACTGAAGTTGGATTTTTAGAAAAAGCTGCAATTTTATTTCACCTTCTAATAGGCTATTCATTTTTGTCTTGTTATGGCTGCAGCTCTGCTTTAAGTGTTATCACACGGGGAACTTTGACAGCATCAAGTATCAGCTGAAGAATTGATTATATAAAGATAATTGCCTTGGCCAGAAGTAGGTCACACACGCTATAATACAGTGTAAATGATTATACCCACACCACTAATCCATGTGCTTACAGTATGAGATCGTTTTTTGGCTGCAGAAGCATCATTAATATGATTTGTGCTCCAATACACAGAATACCCCACCCATTAACAAATTGGGAAACAGAGGTCCAAAGGAGAGGTTACACAGCTGGGCTTGGTCCAAGAGTGTCATTTTTATAATTAATGTTGGCTCTGTTAGGTACGTAATTTACAGCCAAGTCAACGTTACATTTGGAGCACGGCGTGGCAAACTTATGACCCTGATGACAGTAGTAAGCCTCCTTCCCCCTGGGCAGTAAGCGAAGTCATGGGAAGAACATGAGCCTGTGAAGGAAAAGGAGGAATGAGGGATGCGTTAGTAGCCGGCGCCCTCTTGTGGCAGTTTTACATTTTTACTTGTACTAACAGCACAACAGCGATACTTAAAAGGATAAGTGTACTCCAAGACAAAGTTCACTTATTCTTCTTGCCCTCCTCCTCTGACCTAAACGATCCAACTGTCGCTGCAGATCTATACTTACAGGGATCCAAAGACTGAGCCCCTTGTCAATCATTGCCCCCCCTTCCTGCACCTAAGGCTGGACCTACAGAAAGGGAAGAGGGTGGGCACGGTTGGTTCTGGTTCTCGAGATGTAGAGTCAGCTCTCAATAAGGGTGCCCACACACCTTACGATAATCGCGGGTAATCCCGCGATCGTACGATTATCGTAAGATGTGTGGAAGCCGTGCGACCTTACAGTAGTAGACTTTTAATTTACGAACATGTTCGAAAACCCGCCGAGCATCGTACGATGTTCGGCGGGTGTGTAGCATGTTGGTAAGATAAAAACCGGACGGGCCGGTGTGCGCAAGCGCACAGTGCCCGCTCGGCATTGCGGTCATCGGAAGCCCGCCCCTCAGGGGGGCGCGGCTTGCGATCATCGCAAGTACGATCTGCCTGTCCAAGATGGGCAGATCGTATGTTTTTTTAAGTACCTTACA